ACTTCATCTTTATAAAATTTTATTTATTTTATATTAGTTGTTAATTTTAATTTATCAAATACTTTAATTAGATATTTAACCATAAATACTATAATTATTTTAATTCTATTTGAACAGCTGCAATAGTAACTTTTGGGGGAAGGGAAGTGGACTTAAGGATATAAGGACTGTTGTATATAATGTTTGGATTGTTGATGGTCCATATAGTATATCGGTTCGTATATCGTAAATCCAGCCATGCAATTCTTTTCGTTTAGTTGGGGTTAATCGATTTGTTATACAGACCATTAACGGTCCATATAACATATAAGGACCGTTGACGGTCTGCATAACATAAATTCAATCATATGGAATTCTTACCATTTTACTATAAAGATTTAATTGATATTTAAAGTGAAAATATTATGTGTGAAATATTGATAGTGTGAAAATATTCTAACCTAATTTATGGTATTTTTCATACAAAATGAGGGGAAATTTTGTTCATTTAGTACAAATAAATAAGTCTTTAATGTCTACTATAAATATAAAGTAAATACAAATGTCTAATGCAAATATAAAAGGTCTACATATCCCGTGGTGTCTGAGGGGTAACAGTGCCATTAGTATCTGCTGGGTCATCCCTAAATGCTGGTAGAGTTGCTGCATCTGTGCAGCAAGGGTCACTTGGGACTATCGTAGGCTCTCATTATCTGTCATGAAGGTGTTTTGTGAGTGTCAAAGGCTCTCATTATCTGCCCTTAATGCTTGGATAGTTTGCTCTAATTCCTGAACCCTACTAGACTGTCCTATGATGGGTGAATTGGATGGTTCTTGTCTAGATGTGCTCACACCTACATCCTGTGGATGTGTATAAACATCTAGACCTTTCAGCCATCCTTTATTGACCCCACTAGTTGCTTTCACTAATAACTCACCATGGGCTATTGTAGGGTCAAAATCTTCTTCCTCTTGCCTGGCAACATATTTAGCTACCAATTTTTCCTAAAATCATATAAGATAAAATAACATGTGTTTAAAATTAAACTAAAATTTAAAATATCAATTAGGGAAATTAAACAAAAATTCAACAAAATTCAATTTACTCTCCCCTAAAAAGATAGGTTTCTAACTTTTTAACCTTTATCATGTTCCCCTAAATATTAGGCATCAACCTTATTACCAATTAACATCAATTAGGAAATACACACCCACATTCAACAAGAATTATATTCAACAAGAATTATATTCAACAAGAATTATATTCAACGAGAAATACACACCAAGTTTACAAATTTTACTTCACAAAACAAAATCCTTTTTGTTCAAACCATTAAATCCTTAATCATAAAAAATGCACAAAGCAATTGCGTCTACACAAACTCTTGAGTTGTTGCACCACTCAAATAAAGGATAATAAAAGCCATTCACCTTACCCTTCAACCAAATAAAGGATCGCATTTGAATTACCTCAAATACACATCCACATTCAACAAGAATTATATAATCATTAGCTTCTCTTATTCAATAAACTTCAACAATTCAAAATTTAAGTTTAAATTTGATAATTCATATTATTAAATACTTGCGCTAATTTCTCGAGCCTCATCATTACAATACACAAGCAGTTGGTCTTTTCTTATTGGTTTGTGCTGCCTTCTATTGGTGCATAGGTTAAGAAATGTCGGTAGATGACCCTCGAGGTTTGTTTGTTATTGTAAAGAAAAAAAGGAAGACCAAATATTAAAACCAGTATAAAATAAATTATAAATCATAGTGCATTAATTATTCATTAAAAATATGTTAACTTTTATATCATTTTCTTTCTGTAAGCATTGACGTCCATTGAACCGTTAGTGTGTGTCACCCTCAGTCCTTGTGCCTGATTTGCCCTTGCGAAATTTGACTTTATCAAATGACCCTCATCCTACAAAATTGATGAACACACATATTTTGTTAGTAATATGATAAAAAAAATTAAGCATTACAATTAAAAAAAAAAAAATTAAACACATGAATTTACTCCATTACCTCTGTCCATAAATGAACAAGCCTCTCTCATAGCTGTGGATTTATATCTGGAGGCTTAACTCAAAAGTTTTTCTTTGCGCACTTAACTTTCAACTCACTAAGTGCATGATTGAATTTGACCTTCGCAGTCTTTTTCCACAAAATTTTCACCTCCGTATGAATCACAAGGTCCCATTCATATGTTTGTTGAAGAAAATGGAAATATAAATAAATAATTAATTTAATAAAAATTTATTAATGATAATAATCAAGAAAATTTAAACTGCTTAAAATTTGAAGATAGAAATTGAAAAGATCTAATTTGTAGATAGAAATTAAGTGTTAAGGACGTACACAGAATAAATTCAAATACATGTCCCGATGCTCAATAGGGACCTGTCCCCATGATGTGTAAGCATCTGGGAGATTCTCTCGCAACTGGCCCACAATTTATCGTCTGACCTTTTGTAGTAAACCACCATAATCATCTAGCTCTAATGGGATCTTGGTCCCATCTGTGGGCATCTATAGAGGCTTAGCTTGCCCCCATCCTTGTCTCTGCTGGGGGACAACAGCATCTATCTCTTCATCACTAGGAGACTCGCCCTGTATATTAGCATCACAAGTTGGAGTCTCCAAAACTACATCAGCAAGATCCTCCTCTTGAACCCGCCTCTGAGGGTCAAACGGGTTTGGCTGTTGTAGCGGTTGGGTAGAATCTATAGTCTCCGTGTAATGAGAACTACAACAATCCACTATAAAAAAATAACAAATACAAAAAAGAATCATTAATAAAGTAATTTAAATGCAATAAATTATATTAAAATCACAATAAAAATCAAAATATTTTACTTTATATAGATAAGAAAATAGTAACCAAATTACATTTTAGTTGAATAACATACGATAAAAATAATATAAAAAAATAATTATATAAATATTAACAAAAAAATATAAAATTAACAAGTGCAAAAAAAGTTGAGGGATAAAAAATTATTCAAAATCATAAAGTTGAGGGATCAAAATTAGCGTTTAACCTTTTAAAATTACATATACTACAATAATATAATTACACTTTTAATCAACTATAAATATACCTAATTTAATTAATCTTTATAATTAATTAAAAAATAATGAAAGTTAATTTGTTATA